CCACACCTGTAGTCTCTTGGGATGTAGGACCCCCACACTGGGGGGCAACAGGGCTTCAGGGACGCAAAACCCACAGCATTATGGGAGCGGCTGAGTGGGCAGAGGGAGAGAGCTAGAGAGAACAAGAACAAAGCCAGCAAGCCGAGCCGTTCTGGGTGGCGGCGGCGCAGTGGCGGCTGAGTCCCCTCGCACTCCTCCGCGAGTCGGCAGCGTCCTCCGGTCCCCGCCCTCCGGAGCGCGGAGAAGCCGGGGCTGGTGCTGCGCGCGGGTGCCCGGAGGCCCGCCCCCCACGGCGGCGCGGAGCCTGGAGCTGGCCGTGGTGCTGACGCTAGGCTCGGGCGCGCACTCGCTGCCTGGTTCGGGCGCGGCCGCGCCCTGCGACACTCCCCAGCCTCAGCGGTAAGTGGCCGGGGCCCCAAGAGACTGCGTCGGTGCCTGCCTCGCCCGTCCTCATTGGGAACTGGGGGGACCGGGGAATGTTTGAGCGCTTTCTGCGATGGACGGCTGAGAGAAGGGGCCACTCCGCGGCGCTCAGCGAGGATTCGCGGGGCCTGGGGGCTGAGCGTGGTGACTGGTTTAGGTAATGGGAAAACCCTGTCACCGCGGACGAGGGGTCTGGGGAAGAAGGAGTAAGATGATAGTGGTTCATCTGTCCACTTACCAGGGGCTCCTTCAGAGGAGGTGGGCCAGGACCTCCACCCAAAGGGCCCATTGTCTCCCTAGTGTGGGAGTGGGTGGCTCTCACCGCATATTCTATTTCTGCTTTATTACCCACCCCACCCCCATCCCAGAACACTAGAGCTTTTTCATCTCACTTGGGCCTTCACCAAGCCAGCAACAAGGCATACTGCCACGGAAGCAAACTACTGCCCCCTAGCCTCCACTACCCAGTCCCAAACCCAGTGAAGTCACTGGGCAAGGTACCTCACCTAGGCCTGCTCTTCCTTAAACACCTCTTGTAGTTGACTGCCTGCTGTGACTTGGGGGGGGGGATATGGGGTGGGGGCGGGGACAGACACGGGAGAGGCATTTCAAATACCAAAAGTACTGGCCATGTAGTCCGTGGAGGGTTTGTTTTTAATTTTGCTCTATAATATTTTCACAACACACACACACACACACACACACTGAAAGAAAGGCACAGGATTACCTTCCAAGGGGAAAAGAAAATCCTAGATCGCTGATCTAAAATTAGATCTAGAGGGGCCACTTCATGGAGTGTTCATTTTGTAGTAAATTCTTGTCCAGCTGTGCTGAACACCAGCCGCAGACATTAGCATCTCTGTGGCCGCCTTTCTGCTGGCCTCTGGGACAGTTGGTTTCCAATCCATCCTCCCCTTGGCCTCCACTCCTGGTTTTCCATTTTCACCTGTAGCTCCTTCCTGGGACCCAGGTCAGATATGGTCTCCTGACTAGTCAGTCTCCTGGCTTGGTCCCATTGCTTGCTGTCCTGATCACTGCATCCACTTCTAGACATTTAAATGTCTCTTTCCCTTGTCCTTGGGGCCTTTTGCAGGGTTCATCCACTGGCTGGGATATGCATTCTGTATTTTTTCAACTGAATGCCTTCTGCTGTTTTTTAGGTTTTATTTAAACAGCACATCCATGGAGCAGAACCGATTAAATAAACACACTGCATGGTTTCTGATCTCATGGAGTTTGAAGGCTCATCTTAGCTTTAGTGCAGTTGGGGCCTGTCTTAGAAAATTATCAGGATAAATTGCACTTGTAGAATTAAAATGTCCAGACTGGCATCTTAATTAGGAAACGGAAATATGTGGTATTTCATCAAATGAAACGTATGGTCAAGGTGTTTCAAATATTTAAAACGCTTCATTTAAATAAGCAGCATCATGTGAGTTGAAGCTCTGAGCCTTAAAGACTGTTCCTGGAGATTGGGGAGAAAACTCGGTCAGGAAAGAACTTGCTATGGGGTCCTCCAGGATAAGTCAGTGGCTATAAGCACTTGCCACCAAGCCTGGTGACCCGAGTTGGATTCCTGTGACCCGTGGAAGGAGAGAACAGATACTGCAGGTTGCCCTCTGACCTCTGTACACACATCATGGTGCTTTGGAGCACATGCGTACACTTGCACAAATGAGTGATACAACTTCTGTTCAAATTTCCATGCAAGTGGGGAGACCCGAGTTCAATCCCCAAGAATCATATAAAACATCAGTCATGGCGGCATGCCCTTCAAATTCCAGCACTTAGGGAGACAGACAGACCTTGGGGCTCACTGCCAAGGGTCAGCCTCGTTTACTTGGCAGGCCCTGGGTCCCAGTGGGAGACTGTTTCAAAAGCAAAGAGGACGGTTCCTGAGGAGTGGCACCAGAAATTGACCTCAGATCCCCATGCCCACAAAATATCACTCCCCAACCCAAACACACACACACACACACACAAATTGTGCAATAGTGCATACAACTGTCTCCTACAGTTGAAGTGCTGGGCTTGAGCAAACTTTAAACCTTGTTCTAGAGCAATGCCAAGCACTAGAATAAAAAGATCAGTGGTGGCTGAGCTCTGCAGATCACGAAGGAGAAGATCCTTGGGAAGAGAGACGGAGAGATGGCATGTATGGAAGAAGGACATGTCATGAATTCCTACTGACAGGCTGTTAGCCACAGGGTTACAAAAACCAAGTGTGCATTTTCCGACTGAGAACCTCCGTACATTTAGCCTTCGCCCCCAGGCAGTGCTGGCACAGCATCTGGCCGTCGGAATAAACCCCACTCTGCTATGAAAGCTGTGGTGGAAGGCCACTGCCCAGCCCGCCTCCCACCAGGCAGCTCGCCTTCCACCACGTTTCCAAAGAGACAGGCTGGATTAAACATTTTAATGGGAGAAGTGACCGAAGCGACAGGTCACACCCCAGTACTGATGCCTCCGGTGCACTGTTACCAACTTTACCACTTGTTCTTACTGTATGTAGAGTGCAAAACATTCAGAGCAGCCTTGGAGTCCAGTCTTTGTATTATCATAGTGGAGGGACCACGCTGTAAGTTCAGAATGGAACGAACTGTCCCCCTTTTCCTGATCTGAGCTCAGTTGGTCGCTCGGAAAGCTGGAAAGCAGTAGTTTGACTGAAAGAGATCTCTGTCGAAACGGTTTAATCCTTCTAGGTGTGAAGTTTTACAAACAGTGAAGCAGTCTTGATGGTGGCTGCATGGAGCTATTTTCCAGGGCACAGTAACTCAAATAGGCCCCCCCAAACACTGAACGGCACGAGTGAGCTGATAGGTCATTACGCATATCTCCATTAAGATTACACTGCTTTCAATTAGAATCTTTCTAAATTTGGACGAGTTGCCCTTGCAGCCGGCAGCTTTCACCTTCGTCTTATTTTCCAAAATTCCTCATGAGAACACATTTATTACTCCATTTTAAGGTTTCTCACAAAAGATAGTTTTAGTGGGATGTGGTAGTGTACAACCTGTAATCCCAGCAGTCCAGAGGCTGAGGCAGGAGCATGACAAATTCAAGGCCAGCCTGGGCTACTGAGTGATGAGGGACGAAGTAGAGGGAGGTAGAGATCTTGAACCATTGGTTCACAGGTTCAAGTCCCAGCCTTACCACCAACGGGTAAGGCTGAATTAAAAAAAAAAAAGATTTCTTTTGTTTTAATGTGTGTATGTATGAGCATGTGCATGTGAGCGCAGGCACCGGAAGAGGCCAGAAGAGGAGGTCATATCCCCCTCTACCCTGACTCAGAGCTAGGAGTGATAGGCAACTGTGAGCTCTCTAGTGTGGATGCTGGAAAGCAAACTCTGGTCCTCTGAGGGAGCAGCAAGTGCTCTTCAGCTCTAGGCCATTTCCCCAGCCCCTGAATTTATACTCTGTAAAGTGATGCCTGCAGTAATTTGTCCCATACCGGCTTATTGGTCAAGTTTTCTGCTTGGTTAGGAGGATGTTGCCAATGCACAAGTACCAGGCCCTGTGTAACAATCACTCTGCCATGTGTGCCGGACTCCAAGAGACCCATAAAGGAATGTCTGGGGTGGGATGTTTGGAGCAGAAATCTGCAGGTTCTGGGTAGGAGAGGCTTGGGTACTTGCCATCTCCCAGCAAGCTGAACAGCCACCATGGTGCCTGAGGCACGGTGCCATGCCATCTCCCAGTAGACTGAAAAGCCTGCATGGCACCCGAGGTACGGTGCCAAGAGCTGGTGTTCTGTGCCTAGAGGAGCCAAGTAAGGGGAGGGCCAAGCCTAGGCTGTGTGGCTCTTTTGCCCCTGAAGACTACTTTTCGTCTTGTTCCCCAGCCAAAAGTCCCAGATGTCACCTGGAAGGGAGGAAGTGCTACCCACAGGTGTGAGCAGGTGGCAGGAGCTCAGTCACTCGCCCGTGAGTCCCTGTGATGCTGGCTTTGGCAGCCGAGCAGAGGCAGGCCCTCTACCCACTCGGAGCTGCCTGCAGGGCACTTCAGGGACTCTGGCCAGCCTTGACTGTCAGCTGATGGCTGTCATGCAGCCATCTGGAGGCAACCAGCATGCATCTTTGGGGGAGGTTTCCAGGGCTGAATATCTGCAGACCTTGAACCTGCTGCAGCCACCCTCACAGGTTGGGACTGGGGTGAACTAAGGCAAGGGATGATCCCAGAGCAATCCCAGAGGGGGAAGGGATTCGGCTTTGGTATCATGACAGACTGACAGAGGCCGACCAACGAAAGGAGATGGGACAGGCAAAGAGAGTTTCTGCTAAGATTAGGGAAAGAGCTCAGAAGGCTGCCCAGCCATGTTTTGACTTCACCATTTCTTGCTGGGGTCCTCTGCACATTTACCATAAGGGCAGCATGTTCTAAACCACCAGATTCTTCTCCCTTAAGACAGGTCTTGGATCTCCTGTGTAAACTAGGAGCATGGGGACCTGGGGAGAAGGTTGAAGGGGAGGGGAGAAGCAGGGAGGGGAGCTGAGAAAAATGCAGAGCTCAATTGGGGCCATCATCCCCAATACTAACTCCCCACTACCTTCCTCCACAGTGGCAAGAACACTGGCAACATGGAGCTGAGGAGGGGAAAGACCTTCATCAAATCTAGCGTGCAGATTTCCCATGAGAAACTCATAGACCCAGCAGCCTCTGTACCAGCCAAGGAGGACACAGGCCCTTGGTCACTCTCACTGGGAGGGCAACCGAGATCCCACAGTGAGAAGAGCTCCCAGACTTCTCCCTGCATTCAAGGGTATGGCCAGTGCCCCGACAAAGAGATACCATCTGATCCTGAAGGGGGTCCCACGCCCGTCTGCGGAACCACCTTCAAGTTGGTGCGCAAGAGCAAGACTCACGACAGTGTACCAGGGGCCGTGAAGGCAGCCGCCGCCACAGGACAGATGGTGGGGAGCGTGAGCTTCCCAGAGACCCCTGGGGGTCAGCGTATGATTGACTACCGCCACTTTGTGCCCCAGATGCCCTTCGTGCCGGCTGTGGCTAAGAGCATCCCAAGGAAAAGGATTTCCCTGAAGAGGCCCAAGAAGTGCTTTCGAAACCTATTTCACATCCGCAGAAGCAAGACTGAGAACTTGGCCTCACTATCATCCAAGGGGAAGAGCCTGTCATCCCCTGAGGTCCCACTGGGTGTTGGGGCAGAGCAAGGCAAATTGTTCCTCTCCATGGGTGAGGGGCTGGGGCTGGACAGCCTATGCCAGGATCTGTCTGACAGTGAGTTTCTGCCGGACACACCCTTTGACCTCTGCAGCGCCCTGTGTGAGGATGTGGCCTCACTCAAAAGCTTTGATTCGCTGACAGGTTGTGGGGAGATCTTTGCAGATGGAAGCTCGGTGCCATCTGTGGAGTTGAAAGAAGGTCCGGAGAGCCCAGCCCACTCACCCCAGACTCTGGACAGCAAGACTCCCCGGGGTCCCTCCCAGGATAGCATGGAACAGCTGGCATCCCCTGCCCAGAACGAAGCATCAGACTTCACCAAGTTCTGGGATAACGTGAATCGCTCCGTGAAGCAGCAGCAGCGTGCCCTGCTGAGCCCATGGCTGGTGAGTCCCCAGGGGACAGACACAGACCCGCCCAGGTTAGATACCTGTGGGTTAGCTGAACTGCCCTTGTTGCCTTGCAGGGGTCCCCCCAGTGGCTCCAAAGCCAGCTCCATAGACACAGGTACCCCCAAAAGTGAGCAGCCAGAATCTGTGTCCACAAGTGATGAAGGCTACTATGACTCTTTCTCGCCTGGGCTTGAGGAGGAGAAAAAGGAAGCTGCCAGCCCAGGGACACCTGCGGCCACTTTCCCCAGGGACAGCTACAGTGGGGATGCCCTCTATGAACTCTTCTATGACCCCAGCGAGGCCCCTGCTGGCCCCATCCTAGATGATGACCTGTGTGTGTCTGAGAGTCTTTCGGGGCCTGCCCTGGGGACTCCGCTGTCAATGTGTAGCTTCCGCGTGGGAGCCGAGGAGAACCTGGCCCCAGCGCCGGGCCCTGACTTACTCAGTCAGGGGTTCCTGCAGAGTACCTGGAAGGGCAAGGAATGTCTGCTGAAGCTCTGTGACACAGAACTTGCCATCACCATGGGCATTGTCAACTGGCTGCGCCGGACCCCACCTGCGCCTGCCCCTGCGCCTGCCCCTTCCCCTGCTCTTGTCCTTAGGGAGCCTGTTGCCCCACCTGACCCCCATGGAGTCCTCAGGGCATCAACAGAGAGCCTAAAAGGCAGGGAAAGCCAGGCCTTAGATACGGGCAAGGCCATGACATCCTTGGTACCCTGCAGACAGGAGCCCTGGGCACACCCAGGAACCAAAGACTTGCTTGTAAGAGAGTGTGAGGTCCAAAGGGAGCCTGCAAAGTCTATTACTGTCCCATCTAAGGATGACTCTCTAGAGGAAGGAACACAAGACCTTTCTGAAGGCCAATTGTCCTCTGTAGCTGCCATGACAACAGGCATTTCCGGGAAAAGCAAAACTCCAAACCCTGTCATCTGTGCTAGCTCTCAGAAGGAACTTGGGACACCCGGGAACCTGAGGTGTGCTCAAGACCCCTTAAGACCAGGGCATGGGGGAGGTGCTCTTGACCCAGGGCCCATGCTTGTAGGTTGTGTGGCCCATGTGGCAGCCGTGCAAATTTATCCAGACAGCCACTCTCCCAGAAAGGATAGTGGCTGCGGGCTCTTCTGGAATCCTCAGACTTGGGGTCCCAACACTGTGCAGAAGAAACCCACAAGCGGCCATCCTGATGAAGCAGCTGTCTGTGGCTTCTCTTCCACATCCAGCCCACAAGACCAGAGATGTCATGACCTTTTCCTGGACCTGAGTCAGCTCAAGTTGGAACCCTCCAAGCTAGGAAACCAGGCCTGTGCCTCTGTGGACAGCCAGCCCCAACAACTCAGTCCCAGGGCTCCAGAGCAGGTACTGCATAGGGGTTCAGTGGGATCCTGAACCATTCTGGGACCCTGCTGTCCAGTAAAGCCTCTGCAGCTGCCGCCTGGAAATTCTGGGGCTTTCTTTGGACAGCAAACAGTGGCAAGTCGCTTCTTGACACGTGCTACAAAATGCTGCCATGGCCTTCTGGCCTGATACAGACTTCTTTGTGCATAACTGAAAGTGGGGGCTTGCAAGCCAGCCGTGGCTCAGGCGCACCCACAGGACAGGCTTGTGTTTCTGCAGATGCTGCATCTGTACGACCTCATTCAGAAGAACCAAGGACCAGAGTCTTCATCCTTATTGTCCTGACGTGAGGATTGTATTTGGGGTAGAGACAGTGGGGCTCAGGCACGTGGGGGAGGGGAAGGGGGGGATGAGATGAAGGAATCCTTGCCTGAGCCCAGGGCCGGAAGTTGGAAGGCTGGAAGTTTGCTGCCCTACAAGTCACAGAGCAGTTAGACTGATGGCCAAAAAGCAGTTCATGTTGTAAATGAAGACTGGGTCAGCCAATCCATCTGCTTGAGGCATATGAAAAGGATGAGGGCTAATAGCTCAAGAGATTGAGAACCCCATAGGGTTGACTTCACAAGGACCCAGTGGCCTCATCCAAACCTACTCTTTACATTGGACAGAAGTCCACAGCACACTACAACATCACAATGCTTCTCTTTGGGAATAACAAGGACCATCCCTGTCTTGGCAACAGGCTGGAGCCAGCCAGCATGGCGCATGTGCACAGTTTTGTCGGGGCTGGCCAGACCCTAGCTAGTCAGTACCAGCAAGTTCTGTCGTAGGTCATTCTGTGCAAGCAATGACTTCTTTCAACTTGTTCTTTGTGGCCTTGCGTGGGAAACTGTCCACTCTCCTTCCCACCTCTGCCGTTCTGCCTTGGAGTTGCAAAGGCCTTGACTTCTGCCCCTTTCACCCCATCAGTATCCCCATCTCTTCTCCAGGAAACCCTCTGAATGGAGCTGTGCTCACCGTCCCTAGCCCAAAGGCAACTCATGAACAGCACTGAAGCATTCAGAATCATGAAAGGACCTGGAGGCTGGTGTCCCCGGGAAGGGTTGACATCTCTTCTGTTCCAGCTTGAGGGCAGGGTCAGAGGGCCCATCCTCACTGTCAAGGATTTGATTCTACCTCAGCCAAAATAATCCAGTGGCGGCCAAAAGGTGAGGATGGCAGGTAGCTGCAGACTTTGTTTCCAGGACCATATGACAGACAGGTTGCTCGAGAGGTCACGGTTCATATGCAGCTTCTGTGGAGAGGGTCAGGAGTTCCAGGCAAGCACGGTGGTCTCATTGGCAGCATGTACTCAGTGTCTGAATGCCCGAAGTGGCATTTAGAAAGGCTCTCATGGCCATTGGCATCAGCAGCTCTCTAAGGCTGCCATGGGTGAGATGAGGGCTGTGCACCATAGGTTAAAGTGGGCATCAAGATTGTAGCTGTGTGAACCTGGACACACAGAGATGCTCGGCTGCTTACCTGGGAAGCCATGGCTTTTACTCCTATGGCAAGACTCCATCATGACATCACTGAGCCTGAGTGAATATTGATAAATAGAAGGACATTCTGCATGATCCCAGCAGCAGTCTGAGGTAAATCTGACGCTTTGTTTTCAGACCTAGGGACTGGGCACAGCTTGCGTGACCTTCCTTTGGACACACACATGTAGTGTGTGCAGATAGGGGGGTTCAGATCCCCTTCAAACCTTACTACAAAGCTCTGCTATGCAGTAGGTTCTGGAACATTCTGATGGTTTCCCTCAGCTGACACCCCCAGAGTCTTCACTCCTTTCTTCTTTCGGGCCACAGATGCCTGAGCACCCTAGGGTGCCAACCACGTGTCTTTTGTAATCAGGCTGAGAGCTCAGTAAGGAGGCCACTCTACCCCAGTCACAGCCCTGGGGCTTTCTACTGTACCCGACAGAGAAAGTGCTCAGTAAATACTTTTTTTGAAAGAATGTAGTGTCAAGATGTGTGTTGTTTTTCTGCTTTCTCGGTGACTCTGGGTCTCACCTTTAGAGAGAAACAGTACTGAGGTTTAACAGGAACCTGGGCTGGTGCAGTGGCTCCATGGGTAAAATGTCCACCATACAAGTGTGGGGGTCTGAGTCCAGACCCCCAACATTCACCAGACAAAGCCAGACGAATCGGCGTGGTGTAATCCCAGCACCGGGCAAAGGAACAGAGAGAGGCGACAGGTGCATCCCTAAAGCTCAGGGTCTGGGGACACGCACGTACACACATGCGCACACGCATGCGCACGCACGCGCGCACACACATCAGGAGTCTGCTTGAGAACCATACCTCTTCCCAAAGCAGAGGGCAGTGTTCATGATGCAGAAACTTGAAGTGATGGAGACAAACTATCCAGACTCAAGAGCACAACAAATTATACTACATGGTCCCAGACCCAGTGTGGTCTGCAGTGGTGTAGCAATAGAGCCATAAAAAACCAGGGCTGTGGTTCTGTCCCTGAGTAAGGGGCGTTTTATATGATCCCGGCACCCCCTGAAGATTACCTTCAGGGTCTCTAGTGGATCCAGGGTCAGGGAGGTGGGTGATGGGAATTCTCTCTGGACCATCTTTCTCCACACCCAAACCTCCAGGCTCCATGGGCCTTAGGGTAACCCACTGAGAAGGGACATTAGGACCAGCTAAGGTGCTAACCACGTTCTAGAAGTGGAAAAAAAAATCTGCCTCCTCCTCCTATTCTGAAATTTCTGACCAACCTTGTTTTTTTTTTCTATGTATGATGGTGTGTGTGGTGTATGTGCATGTGTGTGTGCAGGTGTGTGTGCACATGTGGAAGTCAGGGACAGACATTGGTTGTCCTGTTCTATCATTCTACGCTTATTCCTACTAGACAGGGTCTCTCACGGAACCTGGAGCTAGGCTGACAACGATTCTTCTCACCTTCCTGTAATAGAGATAAATGCATGAGGGGCTAGAGAGGTGGCTCAACTATTAACAGCATATATTGCTCTTGCAGAGGACCTGGCTTCGGTTCCCCAGGGGGCACATGTTGGGTGCCTCACAGTCACCTGTAACTCCAATGCCAGAGGCTCTGAAGTCTGCCTTCTCAGGGTGCACATACACAGCCACACAGAGACACATGCGTACACACAATGAAAACTAAAAATAAAGTCTTAAAAAGGAAGATATAAATACACAGAATAAAAAGTTGGAAGTCACAGATGGGAAAACAGTAATAAGCAAATTGTTATCCTTCCTCCTTGTGGTGGTTTGAATAAGAGTGGACCCCATAGGCTTATATATTTGAATGCTTAGTCACTAGGAAGTGGCACTATCTGGAAGGCTTAGAAGGATTAAGAGGTGTGGCCTTGTTCCAGGAAGTGTGTGGCCTGAAAGAAGAAAGGGGTGAAGGATCTCAGGGTGGGCTTTGATGTTCAAAAGCCCATGCCAAGCCCAGAGTCTCTCTCTCTCTCTCTCTCTCTCTCTCTCTCTCTCTCTCTCTCTCTCTCTCTCTCCAGATAAGGATGTAGGTCTCAGCAGCTTCTCCAGTTCTGTGCACGCTGCCATGCTTCCTGCCACGATGATAAGACACTAAACCTCTGAAACTGTGAGCCAGCCTCCAGTTTAATGTTCTCTTTTGTAAGAGTTGCTTTGGTCTTGGTGTCTCCTCACGGCAACAACAGTGACTAGGACACACCTCTGGAGTGTGGAGTTCAGAGGACGACTTTATGGAATTGGTCCTCTCCTCCCCACCATACACATGGGTTTTAGGAATCAAACTCAGGCTGCCAGGCTTGTGTACCAAGCTCTCTTACCCTCTAAACCATTTTGTTAGTTCCAAAATGTGTCTTTAAATTATAACATATTTTAATTGTTTTAAAATAAGCAAAACACAGACCTCCCGAACCCTGCCTGGTTGTCTTGAGCTCCTGCTGTTGACATCTGTGTTACCAGAGGTCATTGTCTGGACCAGTTGTAGCTCAGGTTCTTGATGCCCACTTCAGAGAATTGAGAAAGTGCAGGCAGATGGCAAAGTAGGAAAGAATTTTATTTAAAAGCAAAGTACAAGGTAGTTACAGTCTAAGGGAACAGTGGACTCTAGTGAGATGGTTCAAGAGCCCCAGGTTACATCGAAGGCTACTTTTTATGGGTCCTAGATTGGTTGCTAGGGGCAGGATATTGACAAATCAGGACATGGTGACCCACGCATTTAATTTCAGCATTCAAGAGGCAGGCAGAGGCAGAGGAAGAGGGGCAAAGGGACAGAAGGGAGGAAGTGACAGAGGGGTGGAGGGGCAGAGGCAGATCTTTGAGTTTGAGATCAGACTAGCCTGGTCTACAGATTGAGTTCCAGGACAGCCAGGGCTACAATATCCTGTCTTGGGGGAAAAAAGAGATAAGGAGGAGCATTTTAAGTTTTAGGGCAATCACCAACATTTTTAAAGGGGTTATAGTGGTATGATGAAATAGAAATGAGAATAGAATAATGTAAGGTACTTAAAGCAAAAAAAAAAAAAACAGGTAAAAACATTTAAAGACCCACTACCTGCTGTCTGGAATAAACGCACTTAAATGTACTGGCACTGTTAGGTTAAGAGTAAAGTCAGAGGAAGGCACACCTTATAAATACCAGATCAGTGATATGGAAGGCCACCGTGTCTGCTGCAATGCTAACTTCGTGACGTGGAAGGCCACTGTGTCCACTGCAATGGCTAACTTGTCGACTTGACAAGACTTGGAATGACCTAAGAGACTCACTCTAGGATTACAGAAGGGAGACACTCTTCCATCAGAGTGGGTGGCACCTTCGAGATGACCGTGCAGATACAGAGAAGGCCATCCAATGGCAGTGTCATCTGTTCCCTTGCCTTTGCTTATTCCTGCTGTCACTGTGACTACCATCTTCCACTGACAGGAGCTTCTTCAGCTTTTCAATGTGGATCAAAGACCAAAAGCTCTTTAGGAGCCTTCTGGGCCTTCAGTGACAGTCTGAAGCTGCTGAAGCCACCAGCTTTTTAGATGAGGTTCTCAGTCTTC